CTTTTTTTTTTTTTTAAATCTACATAAGAAATTTATAAAAAAAAAAAAAGCAGACGATAATAAAAAGTGTAATTAGTGAACATTTTAATTTAATTTTTTTTTTTTTAAATAAAAATGGAGGAATTTTTTAATTTTTAAATAAAAATGGAGGAAATAATAACAAAAACAACAACAAAAAAAAATTGTTTGGTGTGTTTCTACGTTTAATTTTCCAAACGTTTTTCATGTTATAAAAAATTATTATTATTATTATTATTATTAAGTAGGTTTAAAAGGACCTTATTCGTAATTATAAATGACGTCATATTTTGTTTTAAAAAAAAACTTTAAAGACAAGACAACGCGATCCCCTTCGGATAAATTTTTATGTATTAACCTACGCATAATTTCACTTATTATAAATAAATTAATAATAATAATAATAATAATAATAATAATAATAATAATAATAATAATAATAATAATTATAAGGCGTTAATAAAACATAAATGAAACGTACATAATTATAATAATAATAATTTTTATTCCTTTCGTCCTTGTTTTTTTCTACAACTTTTTCTATTGTTTTCCTAAAGAAATTTGTAATAGCATATAAAAATGTTTAATTTTTTTTTTCTTTCTAGAACATTCTAAATGTTTACATTTATAAATCGAACGCGTGAAAAAAAAAAAAATTTTAATTATATGTGTGCCGTCACTAAAAAAAAAAAAAATTAAAAGAAAAAAAATTTCGGTTGTTTTGTTGTTTTTTTTTTCAGAAGATTTTCGTCGTTAAAAGTTCCAGCTTGTTCCACCCCCCCCCCTTCTCCCCTTCCCACCTTCTTCATCCCCGTTAAGAAAAAGTAAAAAAGTGGATTTAAAATGGTAGGGAGGGGGGAGGGAGTAAGAAAAAAAAAGCAAAAAAAAAGAAACAAACCAAAGTTTTAAAACTTTAACGTTTGATAAAAAAAAAAAAAAGAAAATTTTTTTTTTTTTTATTTCTTTATATATATAAATTTTCCGGCTATAAAACTAAAATTTTACTTAAATCAATTTTTAGGATTTTTATAGATTTTCCAATCTATTTTATATATAACGACAAAATATTTTCCTTTTTTTTCGGGGAGAGGGGGGTTAAAAGATATAGGAATTAAAAATAAAACAGACGACGATATATATAATAGAAACAAAATCAACCGTTTCACCATTTCGTGGGGGA